ACACAAAATCCCATTGGGTGAGCAGAAAGCCCAATAGGAACTTCTTAACAAAGTATATACATTTTATACAAGTTTCATGAATTGAAATACACATACCATGCTATGCTTTTTTTTTAAAAAAGTCGCATATTCATCTTTTGAAAGCCATCATGCACAATGAAATCTTGAAATTTCAACAATTCAATAATCTTAAATCAAGTTCAAGGGGTGGTAAATACAACTCAGGTAATCCCTAAGTTGGTGTCTGCAAGTAGGCATAACTAGCACTACCAAATCCCCACTTTACCAGTAGCTAACCGGAAGGCACGTGGTACCTCCTCCGCGCGTGTTTTCAGTCTTTCACTCTGGACACTCAGGCCAACTTAATCAATTTCATCTACACCCCCTATCTGGATTTACCAACATATTTACCCCAAAACAACTAAATGAAAATCTTATTTCACAAACATTTCCCTTTTCAATGCAAAATTTTCAATTTTTAATTCAAAACTCGTAATAATCAAATGAATTGAATGCCAACGCAACATATATCAATGCATTATAATATTCTTCCACACAATTTTTCCATTGTGATCACAATTCTCATTTCTCTTTCCAGTGCAATTTCACAAGATAAACATATACTCATCAATCTCTATCGAGAATCAACAACATTTCCACATTTCATTTATTTTCATCAACTTTATCATTTCATGACTATATTAACATTTTGAACAACAACTTCAAAACCAACTAATTCTCATCCACCATGGAATTTCTCATTTCAACATTTGTCATACTATTCGTCAAATATCAATTTCATAACATCACCATATTTTCTCAAAAATCCCCAAGTTTTTAGGGTTTCCATAAACTAGGTTTCCTCTTCATTTTGAAAGAAATCATTTCAAGATGACACTTCTCTACAACAACAAAGCTCCAAAATCTCTAGGGTTTTTAGAAAACATTATGGAAACCCATTTTTAAAATCACCCACAACTCATGAATCAAAAACCAAGTTTAACGCCACAAGAAGGAGTCCCAAAAACAACATAATTTGTAAAAATGTATATATAACTCAAAGAAAAATCCCTATCTCAAGTTCTTGAAGGAAAAAGAGAAGAAAGCCCCAAAATCAACGGTGTCGAAACTCGATCTCCACCGTACACAATATAGCCCTCAAAAAGTTCTTCAACTTTTGGTAGAGGAACTAGGGTCAAAATGTTAATGAATTTAGAGAAATCAAAGATTTGGTGAGGTTTGGTATAGGGAAAGTAGAGAGAAGGAGGAGAAATGTGTTTTTAGAGAGAGAGATGATGAAAAAGTGATATACACATAGCCCAAAAAGAAGAAAATGAGGAAATTTTCGAACTCAGCGGACTCCCACATGTGCACGCCTTTCCCCGCACATGCGGCCTCCACCCCCGCAAGTGTGGCCCTCCCTTACCCACACCTACAGTTTCACGTGCAATTATTTCAGTGTTGCACCCTGACCACTCTTACTTTCTGCGCTTGCAGCCTCACCTCCCGTACGTGCGGCCCAAGCCCCCACACTTGCGGCTTTGCCTCCCAGCTAGAAATTTTACCAGCTGAACTGAAAACTCCCGGATCCAACCTCATCCCTTCCAAAACATGTGAAACTCGACACCAAAATAAATAAGCACGAGAATTATCAAATTAACAATTCGTTATATTTAATTATAAACAACCCAATCACAAAGTAGATGTTAAAAATTTCATAAGACCCGATTTAATCACTAATAAATTACCAAGTCATGAATCAACTTCTTTAGCCCACAACATGATTATCTCACCATCTTCAACTATTGAGCATTATTACAAAAATGATTAGGGTTAAACTTCCCTTCACTCAATAACATGTTAAACCATTTTCCCCAAATTAACCCAACAACAATCTATTTTCCCAAATCTTAACTTTACATAACAACACTTAGATCCACCTCCATGATTTTTTCAGAAAGTCCCATAACAACATGGGTTTTATGGAATAGAAGATACCACATGTCTATCTATAAAAGAGGCATTGAAAAAGATCAAGAAATCCCTACCTCAAGAGAGAAGAGGGGAAAAACCCCAAAAATCATCTTCGCCAGAATAGGATCTCCACCGGTCAAGATGAAGCCCTCGACACGCTCATCATTTTGGTATAAAGAACTAGCACCAAAATCCTAATGGATTCTTGAGATCAAAAGAAAATGCAAAGTTTTGAGGGTTTGGGTAGGGAGAGATGAGAGAAAAAGAGAGAAATATTGTAGAGAGAGAGAGGTATAATAAAAAAAAAAAGGAGTGAAAAAGGGGGCAAAAAAATGAATACATAGCTGTAATGCACGAAAAATGAGGCAAACATGCGCCTAGTCGCACGTGCAGAGCGCCCCTCCTGCACGTGTGGCTTTCACCCTCGCACGTGCGGTCTCCCTTGCACCTCCACTTCTGCATCTTCCTTTTAGGCAGTGTGCACACAGCCCTTTCCCTTGTTTTTAGCATGTGCGGCCTGATCTCCCGCACGTGTGGCCCTGGCCTTCCAGCCCGAAAAAACTTCAACTTCTCCCCCGACACTCCAGAGTCGACCTCGCACCCTCCGGGACAAGTGAAACTCGGAATTGAAACGAACAAGAACGAAAATTCTGTGGGGAAGTTCTCAAAAAAAAAAACTACTAACTCAACTGCTGACTGGACCACACTTTGAAACCCGACACTTAAAGGAAAGAAAATCTGACATAAGTTAAGAGAACAAAGCAACTCACGTTACGGTCATCACAGACATCACCTAAGTCGCTTATGGAATTTTATCATTTTATATTAAGTGGTGTATGGGTGTGGTGTTCTTAAATTTTCATTCTTTTTCACATGTAAACCTATAATGGAAAGACATAACTTGTTATCTATTATAGTTAGATAACAACCTGTGAAGATAACTCTAATTATTTATTTATATTATAAATAAATATTTTTTTATTTTTTATCAATTTATTATTTTATTTATTCATTTCTTTTTTCTTTTTTCTTTTTATCAATTTTTGAAATAAGATTGAAGTTTCTACGGTTGTTATTTGGGCCATCATCATCTCCATCAGTTTCAAATCCATAGCAGCCCAAGGTACAGATCCAAAACTACAAGAACCTTTTTCATTTCATTATAAAGATTTTTGGAAAATAAAAGGAATAAATAGTCCTCTTGCAATAACAATTATTGTATGTATTGTTTTAATTTTAGTTGTAGTTTTTTTTATTATTTGGTTAAGACATGTGCATGCAATTGGTTTAGGATTACCACCACCAGTTATTGCACAAGGACTTGATCCACAAGTGGAGTCATTTCCTGTGCTTACCCTTCCTATTGATGGAGAGGTTGGTTTTGATATCACTGACCGTCACATATGCTTGGAGGAGTTCTTCCAAGGAGACAATGTACGAGTGCTTCCTGCTTGCAGACATATTTATCATATTGATTGTATCCAGACTTGGCTAACTAGAGATACTCAATGCCCTGACTGCCGTTATAACTATGCAACATGGGAACTAAAAAACATGCCACCTAATTTACCTTAAGTTGTGCTACTTACTCAAGGTAAATCATAGGGCATCTTTCCAATTACTATGTTGAATAGTTATAACAATAGTCAAGACAACGAGTCTCTAGAAGTTAGCTAGGCTTGATATATTCAATGTCATAAATACGCTTGCAAATCAGAGCACTTGTACACTTTCTCTGGTCCTAAACTCCTCCAAACATATATGATAGTCAATAGTTACAAAACCAAACCCTCAGATGATCAGTAAGAAAGGTAAACATAAAAAATGACTTCATTATTCCTATGCAATAACTAAGTAAAATACCACACACAACTATTGCTATAATAGGGCCAGCTGCATGTACCTTCTTAGTAAGGTTATTGATGTAATTTCACTATACTTGTACATTTTTATTAATCAATATATTTCCTTTTGGCTGATTAAAAAAAGGGCCAATTTGTTTCTCGTGTTGTTTGTTTACAATTGATGGGTGTTTTTATTATTTGCTTCATCAAAATAAAAATATACAGTGTATTCAATCCTTGCTTTAGAAATGTGCAATCAAAAATAAGAAACAAGCCTAGAACTTTGTTTTTCAAAAATCTTAAAGGGGGCCCAATTCTATAACAAAATTGTGATGCATTAAAAATTACATTCCCATCTATTAATGCAAAATGCATCAGTGATGTCACCACTGCCCGATTTCCGCCATCATCGTGGAAGACAGGATTAGCACCACCGGCTATTGCACAGGAACTTGATCCACGTGTGGTGGAGTCATTTTCTGTGCTTACCTTTCCTATTGATGGAGAGGTTGGTTTTGATATCACTGACCGTCACATATGCTTGGAGGAGTTCCTCCAAGGAGACAATGTACGAGTGCTTCCTGCTTGCAGACATATTTATCATATTGATTGTATCCAGACTTGGCTAACTAGAGATACTCAATGCCCTGACTGCCGTTATAACTATGCAACATGGGAACTAAAAAACATGCCACCTAATTTACCTTAAGTTGTGCTACTTACTCAAGGTAAATCATAGGGCATCTTTCCAATTACTATGTTGAATAGTTATAACAATAGTCAAGACAACGAGAGTCTCTAGAAGTTAGCTAGGCTTGATATATTCAATGTCATAAATACGCTTGCAAATCAGAGCACTTGTACACTTTCTCTGCTCCTAAATTCCTCCAAACATATATGATAGTCAATAGTTACAAAACCAAACCCTCAGATGATCAGTAAGAAAGGTAAACATAAAAAATGACTTCATTATTCCTATGCAATAACTAAGTAAAATACCACACACAACTATTGCTATAATAGGGCCAGCTGCATGTACCTTCTTAGTAAGGTTATTGATGTAATTTCACTGTACTTGTACATTTTTATTAATCAATATATTTCCTTTTGGCTGATTAAAAAAAGGGCCAATTTGTTTCTCGTGTTGTTTGTTTACAATTGATGGGTGTTTTTATTATTTGCTTCATCAAAATAAAAATATACAGTGTATTCAATCCTTGCTTTAGAAATGTGCAATCAAAAATAAGAAACAAGCCTAGAACTTTGTTTTTCAAAAATCTTAAAGAGGGCCCAATTCTATAACAAAATTGTGATGCATTAAAAATTACATTCCCATCTATTAGTGCAAAATGCATCAGTGATGTCACCACTGCCCGATTTCCGCCATCATCGTGGAAGACCAGAGATAGACTAGTACCCTAACAAAGATTCATTCAAATGTTTCCTGCACCAGTAAATAAAATTTTAAAATTAAAATAAAAACAAAGTAACAATCGCATAATAATAAATACAAGCATTATAGTCACGATTATTACAATAGACAAAAACAAAGATAGGATCTGTAGATAAGGCAGTATCAAAAAGGAGAATCAAATAACTAATACTTGCAATACACCTAAACATGTAAGGATCCATAAAACATAATACATATAGATTTGATGGTTCAATTGAATAGAAGAAGCAAATATAAATGATAGCCTAACCTCTCTGTAAGGTGGCATTTTTTGTTCAAAATAATGACTGATATGGAGTTTCCAATTAGGTTTATTTCTCAGGTTATTCAATGTGTGTCCACAGTTAGTTATTCCATTGTGTTAGTTATTCCATTGTGTTGAATGGAGAATTGGAAGGTTATTTCAAGGGAGAAAAAGGTTTAAGGCAAAGGGATCCAATTTCCCCTTACCCTTTTCTTTTAGTTATGTGCTCTTCTTAAGTATAATTTGACTCACCGTCAGTTTCCTTTCCATCCTTAGTGCCAATCTTTGGGTATCAGTCACTTAGTCTTTGCCGATGATCTTTTTGTTCTGTGTGGGGCTGATATTCAGTTATTCAGAATTATAAATGACATTTTACATCAGTTCCATTTATGGTCTAGACTTCAACCTAATCTACAGAAGAGTGCTGTCTTCTTTGCTGAATTTCTTCTGCTTTAAAAACTGATTTACTGACTGTTCTTCCAATTCCTGAGGGTCTATTAACTGTCAAGTACTTGGGTGTGCCTCTTATTTCCACAAGATTGAGGTATGGGGATTGTCTTCAACTGAAGGACAGAATACGCTCTAGGATTCAGTTGTGGGCAAATAAGCTCTTGTCATATGGGGGAAGCATGCAACTTATTCAAATAGTATTGTTTAGTGTATAGATATATTGGAGTTCCCTTTTTATTTTACCTCAAAGAACTCTAAAGGAGGTGGAAAGTTTGTTTAGAGCCTTTTTATGGTCTGGTTCTGAGCTTAAGCAAACAGGGGCCAAAGTTAAGTGGGAGAGTATTTGTGTTCCTAAACGAGGACGGTTAGGTTTTAGATCGCTGAAAATTTGGAATAAGTCAGTATGATTAAACACCTTTGGGATATAAGTATGAAGGCTGATTCACTTTGAGTTGAATGGATACATACCTATATTTTAAAGGATCAATGCTCTTGGTTTATTGATGTCCAAATGATTCCTCATGGACTATAAGGAAGACATTCAAGCTTTAGAGAGATTGGGCAGCCTCTTATTCATTACAGAATAGGGGATGGCAGTCCCACCTTCTTATGGCTTGATAACTGGCATCCCGTGGGGCCTCTTTATCAATATTTTGGAAGTAGAATTGTGCAGAATATTGGTAGAGCTCTTTATGTGAATGTAAGATGCTGGCATTGGCCTAGATTAAGAATTAGAGCAATTCGGCAAGTTATTGCTTTAACACCTCATACCCTTATTCCTAATCTGCACAGATCTGATAAAGCTGTTTGGTTACCTTCAAAGAGGGGTAGCTACTCCTCTAAATCTGCTTGGGAAGCTCTGAGGCCATGTAGAGCAGTGGTCCCATGGTGTTCTATTGTTTGGTTTAAAGGAAATGTGTCTAAATGGGCTTTTGTGCATTGGCCAATTTGTTTACAAAAATTAGCTACCAATCTCGTGTCCTTTTACTGGGAAATACTATGTTCAAACCCTCCTTGGCTTGCACTTTATATCATGTATGATCGGAGAGGAACAGGAGAATTTTTACTCAGTCTGTTAGTCACAAGCAAGTGATAGTGGCTGGAATAGCTAAGGAAGTTAGAGCTAGAGCTTGTTCTTTCAAGAGAGTTAAGAATTCTTTGCAAAATTGGCAAATCTGTATGGACTGGGGGCTGCCTTGTTCCATTCTACATACCTGATAAATAAATTTTCTAGCTTTTTTTTGTTTTGTTGTTTTGTTGTTTTGTTTTGGTGTTGATCTGCGTTTTTTTGCTTCTAGTGTGCAGGGGTAGGTCCTTGTTTCTTGTTTTCTTTGTGTTTTGTGTGGAATAAAATTTGAAGTCACCAAAAAAAAAAATTACCTAACCTCTCTGATATGAAAAAACTACTAATTCTACTAACCCAATTCAATAAATATACAACTTTCAATAATGAACAATCCAAACCCTAGGATTTGGATCCGTAAAAAAATCTGAAGGTACCTGGTTTAGAAACTTAAAAAATTGTGCAGCATCCCAAAATTTCGTTGTTCCTATATGTCCTTGTAGGCTTTCAATCTCCAATCTTTATATTTATGATCAAAGTTTCCAATTATTGCTCGTCATTACTTTAGGATATGACGTTCTAGGTTAACTATGCTTGTCTGATGTGATCAGCTCACATATTCACCTTTCTACTTGTTGCTTATGAATTTAACCTTTATGTTAAGCTATGGAGCATCATAACCGTGATTCGCCTATTGATATTGCATATACTTGAGGTAAAGATGGGCTATGTTACATGAACACTAGAAATTAAATAAGGTTCCAGCAAGAGAATTCATGATACCTAGACAGTTGCTCCAAAAAAATGACTGCAAAAACAAGCCTTGGGAGAATTTAGATTTTGGACATCCAGAGGCCTTCATCTACATAGTTAAGATTACTCACCCTATCTATGTGACTAATATACATATAGCCTATAGGTGTCCAAATCAAGAAGGGAAATATATTATTGAACTAAACTGATAATAGATAAAAATGAAACATGAAGTAATGTTCTTGAGTTACTACTTTTAAACTAGCAAACAGTAAGAACCCTATGATCAGTACCAATGCTACTTTTAAACCATAATTCTAGCAACTAAGCCTTATGCAATTATACAGAAGATATTAGTATCAATATTAGTAAATAAATAGCCAAGTAGACAGATAAGCAAACTTACTACAAAAAAGAGTCCCTCCGACATTGAGTTTGTCCTATCTACTCCTTCTTCTTCTTCCTCTGATATTTGAACCTGCATTTGACAAGAACAAATAACATGAATAAAATACCATATTGAAAATTCCATGATTAACTATTTACTCACTTCCTCAGATGAATGATGGCAATTAAACGATGAGGTATGCATGGGATTGTTGTTGTGAATGCACGTGTAGTAGTTGGTGCAACAGGCCCACCCATGGCCTGTTGAGACTCCAACTACTCTATTCGTGCTTGTTGAGCTTGGATTGTACCTTGCATCTGACTAAACATAGCATCCATCATCTCCTTCATTTGCATCTCCATTTGTACTTTATGTTGGTTAAGTTGCTCTTGGACTTGTGTCTGGATGAGATTAGCCTGCTCTTGTAACTGCCTAAATCCACCTCCAAAGACATTTGTCAGAGAAGGACCCAATCCATTTGTTCAAACACGACCAGGTCGATCAAGCCCTAGAACCTGTTTGAAGATCTCCTCATCTGTAGCACTGGATTGTGCTCCGAGCTCCTTCATTTGTGTCTGCAATTGTTAGTAAGTGCCACCAATAAAATTTATAAACTAATAAGAGTATCAAGTCTATGCATCCAAGTGTGTGTCCAAGTGTCATGAAAACACAACAATCACAACTGAAGCACCAGCAGAAAACACAGCTGCAGCACCAGCTGCAGCCACAGCCGCTAAAGCCCAAGCAACTCATCCAACGGCTACAGCCACAGTACAAGTGTATGCCTCTAATAAAAATCATCTAAACCAATGCACTAGGAAAATGAATGATCAGAAATAACACTATGCCAAGAAAGACACATCAATAGGCAAATAGAGACAATCTTGGGACTCTCTCTCTCTCTCTGGTGGAGAAGGGGAGGTATCATCCCTCCTGTTTGGCTGTTGAATTTTGTGTGAAGTTTTATCTCCACTCTACAGTCAATCTTAAGCTTAGTAGTTGAATAATGCTATACAAATTATATATATATATATATATCTAATTACTTTACAAAGACTAGTACACACTAGTTCAAACTAGCATCTTCTTTTGAGCCATTTTCAATTAAATTGCTATTGTGTCATTAACTTAGACCCCCCCAAAAATGGTGTCTTTGAACGAGCAAAAAAAGGAAAAGATGGTGTCTTTTATAGCCTTCTATCCAACTTCTCTCCCCAAAAAAAAAAATGGTGTCTTTGAACGAGCAAAAAAAGAAAAAGATGGTGTCTTTTATAGCCTTCTATCCAACTTCTCTCAACTGATAATAAAAAATAAAAAAAGGACTTGACGCGCTGGATGGCAGAACCCTCAGGAAAATTTTCAGTTCGATCCCTTTATTCCCTAGCTGAATTGAATGGTGGCCAAGTGTTTCTCTCTTTAAAGTCCAATATTTTGGATGGCTAGCTTGGCTTTGAAGAGTTAATGGCTACTAAGGATTGGTGTCTCTATAGCTTCTAATTCTGGGTTATGTCTTTTCTGTAATGATAAGCCTAAAACATCAAACCGTCCCTAATTGATTGCCATGCTGTTTGGAAAGTTTGGGCATCTATCCTAAGATGATGGGGTTTGTCATGGGTGGCTCCTATCTCAATTAAGTCACTGAGTGATTGGTGGAGAGGATGGAAAAATTAAAGAAAAAGGTTGCTTGCACTACAATAAAATTGAATTTTTACGGCTTACAATGCATGCCGTAAAAACTCTTTCACGGCATGCACACGAATGTTGTTATATGACATGCCGTGGAAAGTTGAGTGTCATTTACAGTATGCAAGTAAAGTTGTAAAAAGTAATAAATTAAACATTAATGACATACTTTGTATGTCGTATATAATTTTTTACGACATTATTGTCATGCCATAAATCATCATACTTTCCATGACATAATTTTGCATGCCGTAGAAGATTAGTTTTAATATATTTATGGCATACTATGTATGCCGTATATAATTTTTTACGACATTTTCTTGCATGTCATAAATCATTACACTTTTCACGACATAATTTTGTATGTCGTAAAAGGTTATTTTTAGTATATTTCTAGCATACTCTGTATGCCATATATAATCTTTTACAACATTTTCTTGCATGTCATAAATTATTACACTTTTCACAGCATAATTTTGTATGTCGTAAAAGGTTATTTTTAGTATATTTTCTGGCATACTTTGTATGTCGTATGTAATCTTTTACAGCATTTTCATGGATGTCATAAATTATTACACTTTTCACA